CATTCATTTCCTCTCTGCCTTACAATAATTTTTGAATTTTACATCAATTGTAAGTCATAAAGACTCTTTTCAGTGCTAGTTTTTGCCATGAAAATTATGTCATTATTGTAAAATTTTATTTTTCCCATTACTCTTTTTGTCTTGTCTCTCACTGCTTTGGTTGTTAAAACGCTACAGCTACAAGGAAGTGAAAGAAAGTGCCATTAGTTTGGTATTATCAGTGCTATTTCATGTTTATTGTAACAATGAAATATTGCCGCCTTTTCAAAGTTCTTCAGACTCTTTTGTTTATTTGAGTGACTTTTCGTGTTTCATTTTATAAGGATCAAGCTACTGAATATTTTTAAATGGTTCATAGACTTTTTATTCTCTTGTTGAGAGATTATACAGATCTGTCTGTATATAATAAGCTAATTCAACTCAATTCAGTAAGTTAAGCTCAATTTACAAGTGAAACTCAATTCAGCTAATTCAAGTCAATTCAGCAAGTTAAGCTTAATTCAGCAAGCACAGCTCAATATAGAAAATTCAGCTCAATTCAGCAGATTCTGTTTAAGCTTTCAATTAAACTACAATTCAGACATTCTTGAAATCAAATAAAATCTCACTCATCCAAATTGAGCTTTAATGGCTCTTTTAAAGGAGAAAACCAAATTATTTCTCCATTAATTCAATCACATCAGTTTGATATGTTACTAATGCTTCATATTCAAACTTATTAAACGTGATTTATGATAAAATCTTTTCATCTCTTTGTTGATAAATCAACAGCAAGCGAACAATGAAATAATGAAAGAAGAGCAACTTGTGTATGTGTGTGGAAGAAGAATTTCCCATAAACAGATTTAACCACTTACTTTATTACTATCACATGTTTTCCTTGAATATTATGTATGGAAACCACTATATATTAAGCTTCATAAAGTATATAGAGCTATGATCTCAATGAATAGAAGTGAAAAAATCACGGCGGTGGAAGTCGCTTTACGGTCGTACAAATGGAAGTGATATTTATTTTCGGTGAAGTGTAAGAGATGAATGTGTGGGAGGAAAATTCTGTTTCTTGTTTTTTCTTGCGAACTTTTTTGTGTGTGTGTATATAGGAACAAGCATGTACAAAAAATAATAATGTATACGGAGCAATACACAGAATATAGTATAGAAATATAGCACACGTAAAATGACATTTTGTTTTAACCGCACAATTTCGTTCTGTTTCCTGACTCTATCTTCCATACATAAATTCCCTTTCCGCCATCTCAACAATTTTGTCATTATTATCATCGTCATGTGTTAGTTATCAACCTTTTTCTTGCTTCCCTGAATGAAAACAATGGAAAATTGTAAACAAGGAACGTATCTAAGGTGTCTTTCGATTTTCTGCGCATTTTTGGGATATTTTTAACGGTCAACTTAAACTTGAATTTTAACGATTATTTTGAATTCAAATTTTTTAAGCTCTTTTTATTTTGAATTCAATTCAGCAAATTCAGCTCAATTCAGCACATTCAGCTGAATTCAGCAATTTTATTTTGATAATAAACCACCCAAACTGTTACTGTTAATGTGTAATTTTTATCAGCAACAGCTTATTACCCTGAAAATTTCATAAAATGCGAGAGATGTAATGTCAAGCTTCTCGTTGTGTTGTTTACCGCAAATTTCTATACACATATTGTGGCAAAGACTAAGAAATGGAAATGCCATAAGCTTCACCACCGAAAATATTTTGTTTCTTCGCGTCACACATTGCAAGTCGATTTAAGTTAAGTGAAAATACTTGTGTATTGGGAATATGCATACTTAACGCCTAGATTTAATTTATAGATCGACGTGAATTTTAAGCTTTTTAGATTTTTGAAAAATAGCCCAAAGTATATTATTCCAGTATAATTTAGGAGCTTGATGTGTGATACATGATGACGTGAATGAGCTTATAATGAAATTTTCTCATACAATGGAGGATTTAGTATCGTCGATACACAAAAATGTCATTTCTCATATTATGACGAGAGAAAGATTGCGTAGGCATTTTAAGATTTGCATTGTCATATAACGGTTATATTGGCACATATATTTATCGTTGTCCAGCTATTGTTTAACATTATGGAAGAAATTTTAACACATATTTTGGAAACTTTTGTGAATGAATGAGATAAGGGTTGCAGGCTTGTTTGCTAGGCTAAATTTCAAAATACCAATAAAAATTTAAATTTTAAAAAACCCTTCTTGTTCTGTCACCCCCCCCCCCCCCCCTGGAAAAACCATTAAAAATTCGAATTTCAACTCAAATAACCCCAAAGTGAGCTTTTAAAACAACAGTTCCATTGAAAGTACTGAATATCACTAGCACACATTCTTCATTGCTTGTTCCGGATTTATTTTCGGTCAATATTTGTTTTTAAATATTTTCCCGTATTTTTCTGTTTTGTTTCGTACTCGAAATCAGTTTTGTTTCCTCTGAATTGTTAAATTGACTGCGAATATAAAAAAAAAAATTGATCCATTTTATTTTTCGGCACCAATGCAGAACAAGAGATATATCATCATATGATTCATTTCGCTTGAGATAATACGAGTCCGTTTTTTATTATTATCGTATCCACACAATTTTTTGCGCTGAGTTAAAAATCGATATATATTTTGTTAAATGTGTAGACAATAATAAAATATGAAATTCAAAGCACATCACATAGATTTCCGTTATACATAGTTTTATATCTATTAGTAAACTTAATAAAATAGGAATTCACTTTCTTTCTTGTTGCATAGAGATATGCTGAATAATAAAAAATTATGAAAATGATGAAATATTGCGAAAAGAGCATAAAAGACGTTGCTTTTGGCATCTCTATAATTATGAAGCGGCATTATATGATCGCGTAATTAATCATATTTGAATCACTACAATTAGTTTTTGTTAATCTTACTCGTGGAATCAGAGGTGATTATCTAGAGCAATTTTGAGGTAATTTTTGATGTTTTTCCGCGAATTTAAGAGACAATTGATGAGAATTTGAAGTTAATTGAGCTCAAAATTTGATTTAAATAACTTTATAATAACTAGCAAAATTTAACGGTTCGAAACTTTATTAAATGGAGCTAACTTCAGGTTGGTGACATTAAAATTTTAACGGTTTAAATTTGAAAAACTTTATAATTGAAGCAAACTCTAAGTCAGCAGTAATTTTTTGAAATTTTATAATTTTTGAGAAATAAAGTCAACTTCATAATTGGACTTTTTTTCAAACTGATACACACAACATCTGTGTTGCGTTTTTAATTTCATCCATTTTTTCTTCTTTAACGTAAAATTTAATTTAATTCAATTTTTACTTACATTAAGTGAGTAGCATAAATCCTTTTAAATTCAATATTCTCGATATTAAAATGTTTTAATTTTTTTCTTATTTATGAATATTGCAAATAATTTATTTTCTCAACTTTTTTTATGGCTCGTTTTGTGATAATAATGAAATGAGAAAGATGACGAGATGTGAGACGAAGACGAAGACGTAAAAAATGCAAAATAAAAATGAATATCGAGAGCGAATAAACTTCACTCAAAATTTCTTTTCAGCACATTCACGAAAAAATAAATGTTTTGCATAGATAGATGTACTTATATACAATATTTTTTTATCATCAGTTATGCTTCGTTGCAAGCATCCTTGCTGGTTTTATATAATTTTATGATTCTCACTTTTATGCTGACTGAGTCACACAAGACTTTATTTCTTTTCACTGCTTTTGTTATCTATGATATTTTTTTTATATTTTATTCATCGTTGTTAAATGATGTACATTTCAAGGTGCATCAGCCTCAGGAAAATTGATGGACATGAAAAATGATGAATAACTGTGATTTTAAATGATTTTTTTTTGCTACAGTAATTTGTGATTATTGAAGTTTATTTAACAATTTTATTAAATTTCTTTTTAAAATTTGCTGAATTCAACAGAACTTTTGCTTCATTTTAATGAATTCAGCAGAATTTTAACCTTATTTTGCTGAATTCAGCAAAAGTTTTACTTTATTTTGTTGAATTCAACAAAACTTTAGTTTCAATTTGCTGAATTCAACAAAAAAAAATAAAAATATCGCTGAATTCAGCAAAACTTTAACTTCAAATTAATCAATTTATTAAAATGAAGCAAAAGTTTTGAAGAATTCAGCAAACTTATTAAATATTTGCTGAATTAAACTTTAAATTGCGAATTATTTGCAAAAAAAAAACTGTTTGAGCACTAAATTCATTAATGTTGTCAAAAAACTTGCTGTATTTTCTAATATTTATGTTTTCAAACATCCAAATCCAACACTTTATTCTTATAACAATCATTTATTCACGAAATCTTCTCAAAATATTGTTTACATCACTTCACTCAAATCACAGAACATTTCTTCGTATTTCAAAAAGTCCATCAAACGTCCCCGCAGTTGATATGCCTTGATGTGTACATTAATAACAAGAAGAAATTGAAATCCACCCAAAAAATAATAATAAAATGAGATTTCTCTCAAAAAAAAGTAAGTTTGCAATTGAACGATAAAAGCTAGCTTAATTTTTTATCTTCACAATTTTCTTTCGCGAATGAATAATTCTTTTATTATTTTACATAATAATTCAACTATCACTTTCTTTCCAACTCTTTATTCATTACTTCTTTCTTCTCTTTTACTGCCGTGGACTTCTTTTGTTGATAAAAAAATTTAATTTTGTGTTTTTTTTTTGCAAAAAAAAATCCGAGATGATTTTGAGTCATGAGGAAATAGAAAGTCACACAAAAATGAGATCAATGCGGTTAAATTAATTGAATTAGCTAATTTCATGTCAATTATTTTTCGAAATGGATTATTTCATGTCAATTCTACATCCACAAAGATTCTATTCGTGTCTAACATTTTCCAAACAACAAAAAAACCTCAAAGTCATCCGCAGTAAAAGAAAATTAAGTAAAAACTTAGAGATAGATGAAAATTCTGCAGGAAAAATTACCTGAGAGTTGTTTCACTTTGAACGTTTGAATCGCGACTGCTGTTGTGATTCTGTAAAGCAACTGTATCAACTGCTTTTGGATTCAATGATGACGCATTGCTCGATGTTTTCGCATTGTTTGAAATTACTGATTTATGTTTCGATGATGTTTCATCATTTTTGTTTGTTTTCTTTTGCTTGTTTTCATTGATGAACACGCTGTCATCATCACTATCAATTACTACATCAGCATTGGTTGTAGTGTTTTTATTATTGTTTTTTATCACTGCCGGTTCAATGCTTTTCGCATCAGCTTTCGTTAAAACATCAACTTTTTGAGCTTGTTTTGATGCTTCCGTTTGTGCTTTTAATGGGCTTTTATATGGTGAGTTATTTTTTGACGAAGAAACAACATTTATCGTATCCATAGGTAGTTGTGACTTTTTACCTTCATTAACTTTTATCTCGATTTGCTGCTGCTGTTGTTTCTCCTGTTAGGATTTAAATTAAAAGAAATAAGAATTAGAGAATATTAAAATATGATCTTATCATTATTCTTTTGTATGTTAAAATTCTTGGTTTTTGGCTTTGTTCCTTTCTCATTTGTCTATCCTTCTTTGTTCTGTATTTTAAGATTTATCAATAGAACCGTTCATTTATTACGTCCCTAATTTTAAAAATGAACTGTTTTTCAAGAAATAGAATTCTTTAATTCTAACCAGAGCTCGAAGTCGCCTCAAAGATGTTTTGAAAGATATCCTGATTTTAAAGCATTCGAACCCTGAAAATTTTGGATTTTGAATGCTTACAGTTCATGTAAAATTTCTAAATTTTTAAGGCATTTAAATGCTAATACAAAAACATCTGAAGATCAAAAAAAGCATGTTTTTCCATTTTGAATAAGTTGTTTAAAATCTTACGTCACGCAAATCAAAAAGTATAAGAAACAAAAGATATTTGCCAGCCACGTTAGTATTAAAAGAGTTTTTGAACAGCTTAAAGATCCAAAAGAGATGAAACAAATTTTATTTCTGATAATTATTAGCACCACCTGCATTTTAATTCAAGGCAATGACTTGAACAAAGATGGAATTTGGGTGGAATGGAATATTTCAAAATCAGGAGTTCCAGAAAATGCAGTGATTGGAGGACATGACTTTACAGGCGACTTGTATGTAATTAGAGCAAATCACAATCATGTTGACGGTTATCGTGGCAAAATAGCTGGAAAATATTCACCTAATGGCAAGTATGCATCCGTTCCATATCACCACAAAGAACATCCAAAACACGACTTTGAGGTAATCAGATGATAATATATCGCATACAACTTGACGTTACTCAATTTTCAATAATTCAACAGATTCTCACGCACACAAATTATATTTGGAAATCCAATACCAATCAGACTGAAAATTTAATCCCAGGAGGTTATGTATTTCAGTATACCCAATATATATGTCGCGGAATAGTTGATGATGACTGGATTCCTGGTAAACTTGCACATTTTGGATACTGTTATGTTAGTTATGATGGAAAGGAAATTCCTTTTGACTCTGAGCCTCCATACTATCACAGTTGGGAAGTATTGGAACGAAATAATAAAACTTTGTAAAAATTTCGGGACGAGAGGTCTGAAAGTATCAAAAAATTCAGACCTGATCAAAAAAATAAATGAAAATTTATTGAAATGTCAATATTAAGTTTTGAATTATTAACTAAGTTTAATGAATTAATGCAGTGGTAGACAACCTAAGGGTAAGTTTCTAAGGTTATCGGGTACCTCAGTGAAGAAAACTCAGCAGTGCTGTTAAATAGGAAAAAAGGATGTCGTGTGATAAAAAGGTTTTACACCACTGTAACAAATATTCAATTTCATTCAAGCTTCCAAAACATATTTCAGCACAGCTTGTATCTTCCTCGCTCAAGAAATTCAACAATCGTCTCAAAAGATTCCTATTTTAATTACCCAAAACATTTATAATCACCATTCCTACACTCCAGAGACTCTTACCTTTTGTATCATCAACATTCATTATGTGTTGCTTAAAATCTGCTACTGACTTGCTCATACTTTATGAATAATTTAAAGGAATGAAACATAACTTTTGATTGCTGTATCTGCCATAATAATAAAGTTGTTTTAAGTTTACGGAATTTGATAGAAACTTTCTAATTATACTGAAGAGTTTCGCACTGATGCTAAAATTAAATGAGACGGTTGTAAGAGAATTTCTTAATTTAAATTATATGACTTCCTACACAAGCTTCTTGGCTGTAAAGGAGCTTACTTTATATCTATAGAATCTCTTCTCTTGTGCTGATATTTAAACTTGAGACTTTTCCCTTAAATGTGTTGAAATTAAAGAAAGTTTTTATTGTGCATTAATTGGAGTCGATTATTGAAGTTTACTCAGGATTAATTGTTTTAAAGCACCTCGATTATTTTTTTCTCTCTATTTTGAATGGATGTAAATGAAAATAATTGATATAAATGAAATGCTTTTTCCTGATAGAATGCGAGAACTTATTTCACATTTTGCTTGAAGCTATCCGCTCGAGTTTATTTATAATGAGAAAATATTAAGTTTCATTAAGTTGCTTGACAACTTGCCAGCTTGATTTTCGAGAGGTGTAAGGATTTATTTTTATTTTTAATTGTTTTACTTGAAGGGGTTTTTTGTGAATGTGATCTTACTAAAGGGTGAATTTGAACTCTAACGGGATGAACCAGTCACCATAGCAAAATTAAGTAGCCATGTTTACTATCGTAATTTTTCGGTTACGTTTGATTTTTTAAGAGATGTAAAATTTACTTCTAAAAGTTCGTTCTATTTGAATGATAAAAGTCCAGAGCGAAGCTTTATTATTTTTTTTTAAATTTGTAGGGCTTAGGACCTATTTAGACTCTAATGGCTACCAAATGTTTTGAATATTTGTTAATAAATGAGGTTCACCTTTTTTAAATTGTTTGCAGTCTAACACTTACATTGAAGGGTAAGTGAATTCAATGAATATCATTTATGAACGACCCCTGATGAGATCCTTCATAAAATTTAATAAGTTCTTATTTATTTTCCCTTTATTTACTTCCATTCTAATGTTCATTTCAGTTGAAAGATCAAACAGAACTTTTTTTTGCCATTTTCAAACATCTTTAAACGATTATTTATTAGCATATTCTATTACGAGATAAAAGACTTCAAATAAAATAAAGCAATTGACTCAAAAGCTCTTGAAAAATATTTTTTTCTTTTGCTTTCTTTTCCTTACTCTTATTGATTGTTCAATTTGTAAGAGAAGCTATTGAGGAAAGGATAGAGTTGAATTTCCGAGAAGACGGTATTGATCAATTGTTCTCGATTAAATGTTTTTTATTGACCATATGAAAACAGATTTAAACTTTTCCTTTTGTTATTTTACAATTTTTAAAAATGGTCTGGTGAACTGCTTGACATAAACTTGAAAATTATGTCCAAAAATAACTAAACTATAAAATTAAATTGTTTGAATCATTTTTGAACATTGAAGGCGTTGACAAGTTCTTGGTATCAAAACTGCATAATTAACTGAAGTTATTCAAGTTCCTTAATCTCCCACTAAGCAAGTTCACCCTAGGGGATCGATCAGATCCACTTATTTTCCTTCCTCTGTCACAATTCCTAATGATCTAATATATTTTCCATTATCATTCGAACCACGCACATCCAAATAAAAAGAATCAAGCACAAAAAATAATAATCACTCAAAAAATATCATTCCCACTTCCTCACAATACAGAACATAAATTATGAGTAAATTAAGACGAATAAATAAAAGTAATTATTCAAGTGTGGCTTGATATTCGTTTATGCAAAGCACAATACGGCATATAATAATGAAAAGAGAAGTAGCGATGCGTATGAAAAAAAGAAAAATTAGAGAGCGAGAGAATAATCGCTTGGATTTAAAAGCTTCCTCCTTAAGTAGGCAGCAGGTGTGAAAAGAAGAAGAATAAGAAAAATTTCAAGCGCAACAGTATTTTTTCGGCACTTTCTTTTGTTTTTCTTTCCATCGCCAATAAATTTTTCTTTTCTGTCAGCCACACGCTTCCTTTCTGTCTTATTCTCTCATTCCCCTACTTCTCAATCGTCGCTTAAATACAATAAATGCCAAGATCATTACGTATGTATGAGAGTCTAAGATTTCGAACGAGAATTTTGCTCTCACGGCATTCATCTTATGATATTAAGCAGTTCCAAGAAAACTTGTCTTAACCTTCATCTGATTTTGATTGATTGATTGATTGATGTTTATTCACCGTCTCGGGTGGTTAAGCTTAAGAACTAGTGACATAATGCTCGTTTTAGACCATAAATTTGAAAATTAAATATTCATTACATAAATATATTGTTAAATAAATTTACACTTAAGGTGTTTGTGATAAGAAAATTGTGTAATGTACGCACACGCACATATTGGTAAGTATTAATATATTATGTTCAAGTAAAGATTTCGATTTAAGTTCGTAAAAATAAAAACATTTAAGTAAAAATAACGAAAAAAAACAGAGGTTTAAATAAATAACACTAAAATAAATTTTGAATATTTCGCATCTAATTACTGCAACTGACGGATTATGCTGATTTGAACAGGTTGTTTATGTTTAGTTGATTGCCCCTCAAGAAAATTAATTTGTTTTCTAATAGAAAATGTTTAAGTTTCTGTTTGAATAAATTAAATCTTTTTATCTCTCTTATTTCCAGCGGCAGTTGATTGTATACTTTTGGACCTAAGCAAGTGAAGTCATTAGCAAGGAGTGCTTTACGGAATCTTGGAAATTTTAACTGCTTTTTTCTACGTCCATCAGTGATAAGTTCAATGTCATCAGAGTTCGTTAAATTCTTCTTAATAAGCAAAAGTAAGTTGAAACATGCTATGCCTAAGACCGGTAAAACATTTATTGCAACATCCATGAACAATCTTTCAGTTGGAAATCTTCTGTCTAGGCCAAATGTAATTTTCAGTGACTTGTTTTGGATTGTCTGTAATCTCTTGAGGTCCCCAGCATTCATCCTGCACATAAGAAAGCCACAACTGAAGAAGTGAGATCCAATAAACGCATTGTAGAACTGCAAAAGCGAGTATGTAGGTAAGTGCCTTTTAATGACATTCATTGCATTCACAGATTGAGAGATTTTTTTGACAAGTTGATTTGTGTGTTCATTTAATCTTAATTTGTTGTCAACAACGGCTCCCAAATATTTTATAGACTCAACTTTTTCAATTTCACTGTTTCTCATAAGATCATCTAAGTCTTTATAATCTGTGAAGCCAAATGTCATGAATTTCGACTTGTTTGCATTCAATTTAAGTCCATTACTTGCATAGTATTGTTTAATAACTTCGATATCTTTTCTTATAGTATCCGGTATGTCTTCAAGCTTATCGCAAGTCAGCACCATCACCGTATCATCCGCGTACTTAATAATTGTGGACATGGTGTTTAAAAATTTGAGGTCATAAAGCATCAACACGAACAACAATGGTCCTAAGCAGCTACCTTGAGGAACTCCAAAGAGAATTTCAGCAATCTCACTCAGTTCATCCATTATCTTGACATACTGCTGTCTGTTGGTCAGATAACTTTTTATTAGGGTGAGTGCTTTTCCACGAATTCCCATTTTTTCAAGCTTGAACATCAGCAAATCGTGATTGATACTGTCGAACGCTTTGGAAATATCAAAAAATACTACAACTACATATTTATTCTTATCAAGTGCTTTTGAGATTATACTATACAGCTTACATAAAGCATCTTGTGTGCCATGATGTCTCCTATATCCAAACTGTAACTCATCATATTGCTTGTATTTAATAACAAAATTCTCAAGTTGGTCATAAATCACCCTTTCAAATACCTTGTTAATAGTTGGTAGAAGTGAAATTCCTCTATAATTCTCAACAAATGTTTTAGTTCCGTTTTTGTAAATTGGTTTAACTGCCGCGATTTTTAATACATCAGGAAAAACAGCATTGTCAAGCATGTCATTGATTAATACGGTCAGAATGGGAGCGAGAATATCAATATTATCCTTCCACACTTTGACAGGAATTCCATCGCTACCAATTGCTTTCTTCAAACATAGTTCATTCATTAGCGTAACTATTTCGTTCTCTGTGACTGTATTCACTATGATGCTGTTGATAAGTGGTTCGCCTAGGTATTTAAATGTTACTTGATTGTCAGTGAATGCTGTAAATCTTTGTTGGAATACATTTGCAATTTCCTTCTTGTCAAAAATCACGTTTCCATCTATCTCAATCACTAGTTCATCATTCTTTATTGCTCGACCAGTTATTTCATTAATTACATTCCATGAGAATGATCTGTTATTTGAAATAATATTTGAGTAATATGCTATTGCTTTCTCATTAACATGTAGGCTCAACATTTCCTCAAGATTTGCCATTTTTGATTCCAATAAGTTCACAGCACGATTATTATTCTTCAATTTACGTATTTTATCATGCAAATTATTAATGTTGTTTGTAATTCTTATGTATTTTCTGTCAACATACGGTGGAACTTCGTTTTCAAATTTATGCTTAACTTTGTAGTTGACGCGGGAATTA